GTTGGTTGGTTTTTTGGTTGGTTGATTGATTGGTTGGTTGGTTGGTTTGTTTGCTGGTTGATTGATTGGTTGGTTGGTTGGTTGGTTTGTTGGTTGGTTGGTTTGTTGGTTGGTTGATTGGTTGATGAATGAATGGAAGGATTGATTGACTGATTAAATGGCATTCAAATTTTGGCAAGTTTGATAGATGAAATGACTTGCTCCAAATGGGGATTTGATTGGATGGAGTGACGGACGAAAACGTGGATGGATTATTTAAAATAAATAAATGATTCATTATTCATTCATCATCATTCATTCATAAAATCATCCATTCACTTGTTCATTCATTCATTCATTCATCTATTCTTTTATTTATTTATTCATTGAATGAACTGCTAAAATAACAATTATCTATTAATAAATAAATAAATGCATGGCTGGTTTGTTGGTCGCTAGATTGTTTAAATAGTTGATCGGTCCGGTCGGTTGAGTTAGTTGATTGGTTGGTTGGCTTGTTAGTTGGTTGACTGGTTGGTTGACTGGTTGGTTGGTTGGTTGGATGGTTGACTGGTAGGTTAGTTGGTTGGCTGGTTAGTTGGTTGGTTGGTTAGTTGGTTGATTAGTTAAATGTTTGGATGGTTGGTTGGTTAGTTGGTTGGTTAGTCAGATGTTTGGTTGGTTGGATGGTTGACTGGTTGGTTGGTTGGTTGGTTAGATAGTTGACTGGTTGGTTTGGTTGGTTGGTTGGTTGGTTGGTTGGTGGACGATTTTTTTGATTGTTTTCTTCACTAGCTGGATTTGTTGTTTTTTTACCTTCCATATGTTTTACTTTTTACAAAATTGATTGAGAATTTATATGGTCGGCTGCTTATTGGACAGGTTTGACTGGGGAGATGATTATTTAACCATTTGTTTGTTTGCGTCTGTTTGGCTTTTATTTTGTTTTTTATCTTTGTTTTATTATTTTTTCATTTTTTCAGTCATTTGTTAATTTAATCATTCATCTCTTCCATCCATCATTCACTCATTCATTTTTAAACCATTCATTCAATCGTTTGTACGTTAATAATCGTTCTATATATTGCTTTGGTTAATTTATTCACTATTCACTCATTCATTCATTCATTCGTTTATTCATTCATTCACCCATGCATTCATTCATTCATTTAACCAATCAATCAATCGATCATTCATACGATCATTCAACTGCTGTTGAATTCAATTCATTCATTCAACTGCTGATCATTCAATTCATTCATTCATTCAATCATGCATTCATTTATTCAATCAATCAATCAATCATACAATCATTCAACCATTCATTCATTCATTTATTTATTCATTCATTCATTCATTCATTCATTCATCCATTCATTCATTCATTCATTCATTCATTCATTCATTCATTCATTCATTCATTCATTCATTCATTCATTTATTCATTCATTCATTCATTCATTCATTCATTCATCCATTCATCCATTCATCCATTCATCCATTCATCCATTCATTCATTCATTCATCCATTCATTCATTCATTCATTCATTCATCCATTCATTCATTCATTCATCCATTCATTTATTCATTCATTCATTCATTTATTCATTCATTCATTCATTCATTCGTTCCTTCGTTCGTTCCTTCATTCATTCATTCATTCATTCGTTCATTCAGTTCGTACAAAGCCCTCATCAGTAAACTCGATAACATCCACCGACTCTACGACGACGAAGATAGCACTAATAACGCGTTAGTAGCACGCTACTACCACCACTACAACAACTACTACTACCACTACTACCACCACTACCACTACTACTACCATCACTACCACCACTACTACTACCATCACTACCACTATCACCACCACCACTACTACTACTACCTCTACTACTACTACTACTACTATTACTACTTCTGCTACTACTGCTGCTGCTGCTGCTACTACTACTTCCACTTCTACTACTAAATAATATAAATAGTGTAAAAAAGAAATAAAAATAATAGCAATAATAATACTAAGAAGAAGAAAGGAAATAAATAAATTATAAAAAATATGACGTCAACTTTGGTTAGGACAATTTTCGCGCCAAAATAAAAATTACGTCATTTTTTTCCCGCCATTTTTGTTTGCTCTTGCAGAATGAAAGCAAACATTTCCTAAAGTAATAATGTAGCAGTTTGTAGTACTACTAACGAAAGCAGTAGTGGTAGTAGTCGTAGTAGTAGTAGTAGTAGTGGTAGTAGTAGTAGTAGTGGTAGTAGTCGTAGTAGTAGTAGTAGTTGTATAGTAGTAGTCGTATTAGTAGTAATAGTAGTAGTAGTGGTAGTAGTAGTAGTAATAGTGGAAGAAATGTTTTTATACTTTTGTAAACTATCGTCATAAACATCACTATGCTATCACCACTATCGAAGCAACTTTTATCTTCATCATCATAATCATCAACATCATCATCATCAACATCATCATCAACATCATCATCATCATCATAAATGTTACTGTCATCACTATCAAGATCACCACCACTACCACCACCACTACCACCATCAGATTGGACTCTGAAAGCCAGCACCTTGCTAACAAAACATTCCAAGACATCCGTGTTATTAAGACATTGGGTGTTGGTGGTTTTGGGAGAGTTGAGCTGGTTGGTGTGTTCATCCATCTATCCACTCATTCATATATCCATTCTATAATTCATTCATTCATTCATACATTCATTCGTTCATTCATTCGATCGTTTGTTTTTTCGTTCATTGTTCGTTTGCTCGTTCGTTCGTTCATCTATACATTACTCATTCATAAACCTACATGTTTATTTTTCATTCATTTTATTAATTTATTTATTACCTTATTATTTTATTCATTTAATCATACATTCACTCACTCCCTCACTCACCCACTCACTCACTCACTCCCTCACTCCCTCAGTCACTCATGCATTTATCCACCCGACCTACGGCAACCAATCACCAATCGATCGTCTTCCCGCCACAATTTTCCCGCCAAAAAGATTCAGATAGGCAAAGACAGCAGTCGGAGCTACGCGATGAAGCAGCTGAAGAAGCAGCACATAGTAGACACGAGACAGCAGGAGCACATTCTGAACGAGAAAAATATCATGGCGGCTGTACAGTGTGATTTCATCGTCAGGTGGCTACGACTTAGTGATAACAGTAACAACAACAACAACAATAATAATAATAATGATTATTATTGTTGTTATTATTATTTTTTATTGTAGTAGTAGTTGGAGTAGTTGTTGTAGTAGAGGAAGTAGTAGCAGTAGTAGTAGTAGTTGTTGTTGTTGTTGTTGTTGTAGTAGTAGTAGCAGTAGTAGTAGTAGTAGTAGCAGTAGTAGTAGTAGTAGCAGTAGTAGTAGCAGTAGCAGTAGTAGTAGTAGTAGTAGTCGTCGTCGTCGTAGTAGTTGAGAAACAGTAAGCAGTTGCATTGGTAGTAATTTTATTATTATTTTCATATATTTTTATAGTTTTTCTCTTCCTTTATTAACATGTAGAACCGTTTATGTATAAAATTTTTATTTCTGGAAAATAATTAGTTAAATAAAATAAAAATTTTATGAAATATTTCTTTTTTTTAGATTGTACAAGACATTCAAAGACTCCAAATACCTTTACATGATCATGGAACCGTGTCTAGGAGGCGAGCTGTGGACAATTCTCAGAGATAAGTGGGCACCGTTTTTCGTTTTCGCTAAAGTTGTTGGGTATTTTGGGCTATTCCCGGGGTTGAAAATGTACTTTTTATGTTTTATCTTTGGCTGTGGATATGTTGGGTACTTGTTGAAATACTTTTTTAGAGTATTTTCAGAAATCAATTTTAAATTGATTAATTTTCGTATTTTTTAGAAGCTGAGTTTTGATTTTTCTGTATTTTGTGGAAATTGAAATGTAACTTTTTGAGCTGTTTAAGAATTGTTTGGAGGTTCTTGTTTTGATACGTTATTGGCTAGTTTGCTAATGTTTCTGGCTTATATTGTTTCTACCCTATACATTTTAGCGATAGTAAGTAGTAGTAGCAGTGTTTGTAGTAGTAGTAGTATATATATGTATATATATATATATATTATTATTATTATTATTTTTATTATTATCAACAATTTATTAAGCGCATTATAAAATTGAAATTTCTCGAAAGCGCTCTCTATTATAAATGAAATCAGTGAAGGTCAATAAAGTACAAATCGATAAAGTATTTCTATGTCAAAATAAATATGTTTTTAAGTTCCTCTTAAAATCATCAAGCTTTAGTCCAGGCGATTGCGGAAGACTGTTCCAGGCAATTGGTCCTGACACGGCAATATTTCTAGTTGCAGTTTGTAGTTGAGTTGTTGTCACTGCCAGTAGGTTGGTATAGTCTGATTTCAATTTTACACCTGTTGAAGAAGCTTTTTTTTTTAAGATTTTATTTGCTAGATATACTGGTAACAACCCGTTCAAAGCCTTATACATAGTCACACAAATCTTATCGTTGATTCTTTTTTTCACTATTAGCCAATGTAGGTCTCTTAAAATGGGTGTCACATGGTCATACTTTCTACGTCCAACAGTTATTTTTGCAGCTCTATTCTGTATCGATTGAAGAAAAGCAATAGATCTCTTTGGTAATCCATTGAACAAGCTATTGCAGTAGTCTAACCGTGAATTGCATGGTTGTTTGATGTAAATATTTTCGAACGCGGTATAACTGGCAAAGCTGATAAGAACATGATTTAGATATGGTTTTTATATGATCTTTAAAAGATAATCTCGAGTCAAAAATACACCCTAGGTTTGTTGCATTTTCACAGAATTGTATTTCATTATTATCAATTTTGACTGAATTAATATTAATTTTAGAAAGCTGTTGTCATGTACCGACAGGTAAAAATTGAGTTTTATCTTGATTCAATTTGAGACAATTTCTTGACATCCATGTACCTATTTTAGTCAAGCATTCAATGAGATTTTCAACTTTACTTTCAAACAGTTCTGGTTCACTGCTAACTATTATTTTGATATCAGCAGCGTACGCATGATATGAAAATCCAAAGGATTCTATTACTTCATATACTTCAGCAGTGTACAGTACAAACAGAATAGGTCCCAGGACTGAGCCTTGTGGTACACCAGATGACATTGCTTCAATACCAGATAATTTGTTCCCGAAAAAAACCTGCTGAGTTCTGCCAAACAAATTGGCTACAACTCCAATAACTCCATAATCGTATTGTAGGCGATTCATCAGGATTTGATGGTCTACGCAATCGAAGGCAGCACTCATGTCCAAGAATGTAAGCAACGAAACATATTGTTTATCGATTGCATTAAACAACTCAGACATAACATACAGCAGTGCTGTTTCAGTTGAGTGATAACGTTTATATCTAAATTGAAATACTGGTATTAAGCTATTTTTGTGTAGTTGACTCAGTAGCTGACTGGCAACAACTCGTTCAATAACTTTAGAAACGAAGCAAATGTTTGATATGGGTCTGTAACTTTTCATTTCATTTCTCTCATCTTTCATTTTCTTCAAGACAGGTGTAATAACTGCGTGCTAACATTTATTCGGAAATACTCCCTCTTGCAAGCATAAGTTAACGAGGCTTGCGAGAAAAACAATAAAAATATCTATATGTTTTTTAAGCACATGGGTCGAAAAAACATTTAACATACAGGTTTTAGCCGGTAGATCAAGCACAATTTTCTTTATGTCTAGTTCCTCAACGACAGCAAAATTTGTGAGCAGACAATTTTCGGTAAGCCTACATCTGTCAAAAGTAAGTTTTTCGTTAATACTAATAGTATGCTTGATCCGATCGGTCTTTTCTTGAAAAAACCCATAAATTGTGAAGCCGTGATATCAACATTATCATAAAGTAAGCTATGGTTACCTTTACAAAAAATTTTGTTTACTACGTTCCATAGACCCTTTGAATCTCCATTACTATCAGCAATCAACGTTTTCCAGTAATCATTTCTTTTTATTGAAAAGAGTTTGGTTTTATTTTTCAAAGAAGCGATCCATTCATTTCGACTCACTGATGACAAACAACGTCTGTATTTCCTTTCTATACGTCGACAGTATCTTTTAGCTGCTCTACACTCATCATCAAACCACGGAGCCATAAGATCACTTCTATGCTCGATAAACCGGAGAGGCGCAATTTTGTCAGCAATCTTCCTCATTTCGTTATTTAAAACATCAAATTCACGATTCACATCTCGACTTCGACAAGGCTCATGCAGTGGTGAATTATATTGTATATATATATATATATATATATATATATATATATATATATATATATATATATATATATATGTATGTATTTGTACCTAAGGGGTTATTTCGACGACCCAACCACCCGATTTTTCACTGCCTGTGTAGTTGAGGCCCTCATCTACTTGCACGAGAGGGGGGTGGTCTACAGGGATCTGAAGCCTGAAAACTTATTGGTTGATAGCAAGGGTTACATCAAACTGGTTAGTATCTTTTAGTTTCTGTTTAACCTTGACCGCCTTTATTCATTAATAATCGTTCAACTGCAATTACTTTATTTTAGTAACTTAGCTTTGTTGAATAACGTAACGTAATAAATTTTCCCAAATGGTACGATCTATACTATTGGTCAGGTCGATTTCGGGTTCGCAAAGCTGATTGGCTACGGTCGGAAGACTTGGACTTTTTGTGGTACACCAGAGTATGTTGCCCCAGAAATAATTTTAAACAAAGGTCATGACCTTTCTGTTGATCTTTGGTCTCTCGGTATCTTGATGTTTGAACTTTTGACTGGGAGGTTGTTTTTTAAGAGTGATTTATTGCCTTGTTTAATTTTAAAACTTTGTTTTTTTTCATCTATCGTAGAAGTGCATATTATCCGCGTATCTATTTGTACTCTAACAAAATAATATTTTATTTCATCACGTGATCAATAATTCGTTTTGGTAATGTTTCCTATAGGAAATTTAGGACAAAATTTAAAGTATTCTTTTATATAAAAATCGGTCCCGACAAACACAGAGCCTTGTAGTAAATTGTTCTCTAGTTTGATTTTTCTCGTTTCAAACACAAAGCCTGAACTAACTCGCCAACCTCAAATTTCTTAAATGATCGATGAAATTGATCAGGTTCAAATTAAATACTGCTCTCCCTACAACAGCCCGCCATTCACTGGCACAGATCCAATGAAGACGTACAACATGATTTTGAAAGGAATTGATTCCGTGGACTTCAGCAAGAGGAGGATAACCAGGAACGCTCAACAACTCATCAAAAAACTTTGCAGGCATGTCTTGAACATTTTTTCCAATTCTTTTTTTTTTAATTCTAATTCTTTTTTTAAAATTAAACAGTGTTAAACTTATTAAATAGTGTTAAACAATCAACCAACCAGCAAACCAATCAAACAACCAGCCAACCAATCAAACAACCAGCCAACCAACCAAACGACCAATCTATAATTCAACCAACTAGCCAGCCAACCCACCAATCCAATCAACAACTTCAAACCCATTGAATCCCATAGGGACAATCCGTCAGAGCGCTTGGGATACGGAATGCACGGATTGCGGGATGTGCGCAAACACAAGTGGTTTGATGGATTCAACTGGGAAGGCCTCAAGAATAGATCCATGAAACCGCCATTCCAACCGATAGTCGTTATTATTATTATATTAATAATAACATTAATAATATTATCGTTATTTCCACTGTCTTCATTATTATCGTAATAACAATATTATTATTATATTATTACTTCTATTATTATTTCTATTCTTTTAATTAGTAATTTTATCTGGTAGAATTCCAGTCCAAATTTTTTCACGTCAAAGTAAAATTTTATTTTAAATTCCGTGACAGATCAACAATTGCTGCGACACTTCGAATTTTGACGAGTATCCTCCTGACGATGGGGATCCGGAAGATGATGAATCCGGGTGGGATAGGGAGTTCTGACGGGAATAATTTTTATTTATTTTTTCATTTATATATTTTTTCCGTCATTCAATCATTCATTTGTCCATCTATTCATTCATTTGTTTGCTCTCTCGCTCACTAAATTCACTCAAATTATTCACTCGTTCGTACTCTCGCTCGATGAACTTTTCTGTTTGTTCATTACCATGAGTTAATTCATTCATTAATTTTGTGGCTAATTAATTCATTCATTCATTCATCCATTCATTCATTCATCCATTTATTCGTTTTATTTATATATTTTTTCATTAATAATTCATTTTTTCCTTTATAAATTCGATTATTAATCAATTCTTTCATTCATTCATTCATTCATTCATTCATTCATTCATTCATTCATTCATTCATTCAGTTGCTCTTGCAATAAATATTCCAAACATTCCGTCACTGGTCACTCATTTATAAGCAAAAATATAAAATCATTTTTTCGGAGATATATAATGTATAATAAAAATAATTATATTATAATTACTTAAAATTAAAATAATATATATCAGCCAGAAATCCTATCATCATCTTTAAGTTCATTTTTTGGTGGTTCTTGTGAACTATTGCATATCTAATTATTACATATCCATTACAACATTCCCCAGCAACTTTGTAGGTCCCATTAAAACAATGCTGAATTGTTGAGATGCTGCTTCAATCTCTGAGATCTCATCTTTCTTGTAAAATTGTGCGTCCAAATTGATTTGTAAATCAGGTTTTATAAAATTAACTTTATTAAATGTACCTAGTTAAACATCTTAGCTAGGCAATTACTTACCTACCTACCGCCGAATTCTACATTGGAGTTTGTATATTGAACGTTTCGGCACCAATTTTTATAGCAGTTGTTTTACTTAACTACTTGTATTAATATATTATTACATAATAATAATAATAATAAGCTTCCATACAAAATATTTTATTGTTATTTCATAAATGCTTAAAAAACAAGTTACTAAAAAATTTAAAAACTTAAAATGGCAATAAGTTTAAGGCTACACGTATAAACGACAAAATTAAAAAAAAAGTTTTGAAATTAAATTATATAAAAACACCATAGATATGGATAAAAAGTATTTTCTATATCTATGGATGTAGGAAATTGAAGTTTCCACATCTAGGGAAAACGCATAAAAACGCAACGTTAGCAAACTTAGATCGATCAAATTAGATTAGAAAAGTTTCAGACAAGCGCATATTATTATTTGGCATTATTAAAAACGCATAAATTGCAGTCAAATATTAAATTCAATAAAAATTATACGTTAATTATTAAAATTTATATATTTTTAATATGAATATTATCACCGAAATACTTAATCCATGAACTACTGAAAATCAAGTCGGATTACGATTTGTAATTAAATACTTTCAAACAGTGGTTGCCAGAGTCAGCCACAAGAATGCGGTCATCATCGATGAAACAAACGCCCTGCGGTCCACTTAACTGGCTTACGGACGTATCAACGGTGTGCATGTACGAACCATTTGATTTATATACCTGGATTTTCGAGTTTCCAAAATCGCAAACAACTATATCGCCTGATTTTTTATGAACCGCTAAACCGGTTGGCCCTCTGAGGCCATTAGCCCCGAAGCATTTTACAAATTTTCCTTCCCTTGTGAAGATTTTGACCTTATCACTTCTGAAATCTGTGATTATAACGTGGTTTTCGTCGTTGGAGAGGGCGCAGAAATGAGGTCTGCAGAGTTCCTCATCTCTGTAGCCCTGAATGCCAAAGCGGAATGTAAGTTCCCCCAAAGCTGCTGTGAATGTCTGAACACAACAGCCCCTGTTGTCAATGACCAGTAAATTTCTCTGAGGGAAAATATATTTATTTTATTGTTAAGTTATTAAATTAGAAATAACGTTAGTTTTTATACCCATTAATGTTTAATGCTTTTACAGTAACGATTTATATATTTTTAGGGATTTACAATTTTTTTTGAGTAATCGTGTAGATACTATTTTTCTAAATGAATTAACTAACCTTGTATATAATTTATTTTAAAATGATAAAATTAATTCTATTGAAAAGAACAAAATCTCGCACAACACTACCTGGCTGTCGATCATCAACCCCTTCGGTCCCAACAAATTGTTGTAGCCAATTTTCTTCAAATAGCTGCCGTCAGCATCGAACAGTAGGACGCAATGGTTCTCATAATCAGTAACGTAAATCTTCCCGGATAGATCCGTACTAATCCCAATTAGGAAAGGTTGAAGTTTTAGCGGCAAACTTGATAAATTAAATTTATTCACGAACTTTCCCAACAAAACATCTAGAACCTGAATGCACTGGTTCTTGCTGTCCGTAATGTAAACTTGTCCGTTTTTGTGGCACACTCCTTGAACATTCATAAATTCTCCAAGCTGATTTCCTTTGTTGCCGAAACGTTTGAAATTCATTTTTGAATTGATGATTTCATTTTCTGGAAAATTACTTATTGTTCGCTTCACCTCATTCAACGTTAGTTTTTGTCCAAATTTAACCAACGTCGTTTTGGATCGTGTCAGTTGTCTGTGATCGCCACAATTTCTCGAGGCGTTTCTCGAGAGTTTACATTTTGCAAAAGCTGTAGGTGAGATACTTAAATTATGTAGTTCTAATTTGTTCATCTTCATGTTTTTAAATTTGTTGTCTAAAGAGATGTTAGCGTCATTGTAGGCTGGACTTTGTTCTTCTTCTTCAATTTTTTCATTCATTATCCTGTTTTCTCTGGAGGTTATATATTTTGTAGTTTCTTTGAGATTCTGCTTGGTCCTTGCTTTCAGGCTCTGCATACTTGTGTTTGAAAATTTAGCGTGGGCTGGAGATTGCCTGACAATTCCTGTGCTAGCAACTCGTCTAAGTTGTTCAGTCTTGCTCGGAGAACTATTCCAGGGTGGTCGATTCAAACTGCTATTGCTTCTGTGTAAATTTGAAGAAGTTGATGGAGTCTTTACTGCATTCGATTGCACTTTCACTAAAGTTCTATCTACTCTGCTCGTCATATTTTGAGAATTTCGAAGCGGGAATGATTTTCTTTGGTCAGGCGTTGAGGAGTTGGATTTTATGTAGGGAGATGTTGGAAGAGATGTTCTAGCTGGGATTGTGGCGGCTTTTATTTTAAACGGCGAATTTTTTAATGGAACTCCGTAGTTGAACACTTTCAAAGAATGCAAACCAGGCTGCTTCAGAGTAAATTTTAAATAACAAACAGAATTTTTCTTCGTAATTGAGTTGTCCGGCTGTACCACATCAACGCTAATCATTTGTTCGTTGGGGTCTATGATCATCGCTTGTATAATCCGATCAGCTTTTTCTTTATAGACATCTGTCAAGAGGTTTTTGTGGTCGCACATTGATAACACTACATTAATTTTTGTTATATTGTTAATATAACAGTTACTTTCCAAGTCCGGCTTTGATAGACTAATTATGGTTGAACATAACAAACCATCCGTCATGATCCCGTTAACATGACTGCAGTGACTTTCGAGATTCATCAGCCCACTGTTGTCAAACTCTATGAAAGAACTTTCGTTTGGTTGCTCATTTTCAAATTTTATTTTTTTCATTAGTTCATTTTTATTAATATCCACCTCATTGTTGAATGCTTTCAATGCCAACAAAATCAATTCGGGTCGCTCACTGTCCAAAACTTTTTCTAAAAAATCCTGCTTAATTCTTATGTCAATGATGGAGTCAGAGATTTTGAGTACTTGGTCGTCAAATATTTTTGATCTTTCTTCATAAACTGAGTTTAGACGTTCCAAACAATACCTCTTCTTGGCGGTAAATGCCTTCTGCAATGCGTCGAAAGATTGCAAACATTTTGTTTTAGCATCGTTAAAATTGTTATCTAAACTTTCTCTCGTTCTCCTAATAAAATCATGATTATTTGTTAGATGTTGTTGGTTTTCTTTCAATAAACTTTCCAGCGATTGTAGCTTGAGTTTGTGCTTGTGGGCAGCCTCTTGCAATCTCGTCTGTTCGTGACCGAAGTGTTCCAGTTCACAGCAGGATTGGCACAAAACAATTTCGCAGTCATTACAATAAAACTCGATGCAACTTTTCGGATGAAGAATGCAGTACATTTTGTCAGTGGAATAAACGGAAGAGGATCGGTAACTTTGCGAAAAAATTCCGCTTTGAGTTGCATCTGTTACCATAGAATCATCCATAACAATGGCCGAAGACGATGCCGTGTCTGGCTGGTTTGTGCTTAGATTTAATTCTCTTTCTTCATTTGATGAATCGTCGCCATCTTTGAGGTTGACGAGGTTGGTGGATGTTTTGTTGGGGGTGGATTCCAAGTTGGTTAATGTGATTGTGGAGATGAGCAGGTCACTTCTGTTGGACAGGGACTGCGACGACTCGCTTGTTAACGTTGCTTGTGGATGTTTTATTACGTCGCTGAGACTCTTCAGTGTTGAGAAATCGCTCTTAGATTAAATTACGTTGTAATAAATTTTAATTATTTTATGGCAAGAAGAATTTAACTGTCACAACAATACCAATATTAATATTAAAAGCTCTACGGTTCCAACAATTTATAATTACATTGTTAATCATCATCGAATGTTACAAAAGTTGCGAATGAAAAAATAAATTCTTACAATATCAAAATACCAATCAGAACAATAAAATTGCGAATAAAAATGTAGATTTTTCTCAAAAATAAATCTAAAGAAACAAAATTGATTTTTAAACAAGTAAAAAAACTTGACCAAATTTACACAAAAACCAGATTTTTTGCAAAAAAAAATTGAATCCAACTCACAAAACTCGAGTTTTCCAACTCTAGCGACGACAACAAACAGTTATCCGGCAAATGGCAAACACCAGAAGCCGGCAAAACAGAGGAAACGAAGCAAAGTGGGCACACAAGACTTAGGCTATTTTCGGGAATGTATTCCTCCAAACATTTCAGACAGAATGAATGCCAACATGAGAGAATTTTCGGATTTTCATAGGAATTTGAACAAATATGGCAAGTGAGCAAAGAAGGCTGTTGTTGTGGTTGTGTTGCTCGTTTGTTTGTTTTTGGGATCTCCGCTATAATCTCATCATCCATACTCTCTGGTTTTGTTACTAGATGTTAAGAGCTGGAGGTGTAGTTTGAAAAAAGGTTTGATATTTGGTTGTTAATGAGTTACGTGTATTTACATCAATATTTACAATTTGTTAATTAATTTATTTATTGATTAATTCGTTATATAGTCAACTAACTAAATGCAAAAACTCTTTTAAAAAATTAATTAATTAATTAATTAATTGGAGGTATATTTACTAGAAATAATCATTAATTGTACTATATAGTACATCACCGACTTATTTAGTAAAATCAAAAAGTATCTAATGTATATCTATCCGAAATTAAAAAATAATTTAATAACCATTACTTAATTAATTAATACCTACCCAATTAATTAACTAAATATTTGAAATAATATTATTATCATAAGAAATTAATACTGATGTTACTTATAAAAATCACTTTTACTGTAGTGTTGCAAACCAGTGTTTGACAGTGTTATAAATGTTAGCTAGCCAACAATAGACTTGAAAGCACAGCATGAGAAAACTGTATCAAATATATGAATATGAATTAGTATATAAATGCGTTAGGGTGATCTGTGAATGTGTATATTGTATATATATATATATATATATATATATATATATATATATATATATTACATAAACATTTCTATACATATATTGAATACCTCTGAGTCGTTTATGTGTATGTGTGTGTTTGTTTGTATGTACCTGTGTGTGCTTGTCTGTCTGTTTGTCTGTCTGTTTGTCTGTCTGTTTGTCTCTCGGTGTGTGTGTGTGTGTGTGTGTGTGTGTGTGTAAAGAATTTGTATTCAGTGTATTATTATGCACTTCAGATTTTCAAAAATTACAACCGAGTGATTAGACTTTGATATCTGATTGTTTGTTCGCTGACTTAGCAGTCAATCAATCACTCACTCAAACGCTCAATCACTTATTTATTCATTCGTTCATTTGTTCGTTCGTTCGTTCGTTTGTTCTTTCGTTCATTCGTTCGTTCATTTATATAATCATTAATTTATTAGCTGTTATTCAGAATTGCTCATGGGTTTAAAAATTGAATTGAATTATGTAGTAAGAGATGTGTAATCAGTGGTGTTTGTGTGTGTGTGTGTGTTTTTGCGTGTCTTAAAAATTGTGTATCGAGTTTGTATGCGTGTAAACAAAGAAGTGTACGTATAAAATGTATATATGTGTGCGTGTACTGTGTGTTTGTATGTATATAAGTACATTATGTATACTAGCATGTATGTAAGTGTGTATTTGAATGTGTGTGTATGCGTATGTGTGAGTGTGTGGTACGTACATTGCCGGAGTGTGTATGTGTGTGTGTGTGTGTATGTGTAGTGTGTGTGTGTGTGTACCGTGTACAAAACAATGGAGCTTGCACTGGTGACAATGTACATCATCTACATAAAGATATGTGCACGTGCAAGTGCAACACGATATAAACACATGTGCAATACTTGTGCTGTTCCTTTACACACACACACACACACCACACACACACACACACACACACACACGTAGATCATACACATAAACATGTGTACTTGTTCACACTGAAATTCAATTTTATTCGTTTTCATTATTGGTTAACCTGGCCGAGGTGGGCAGATTTTTAAATTTCATTACATTATTATGCCAAGTTTTGTTGGTTGCAACGAGCGGATGAATTGTGTATGTGTATGTTTGTGCGTGTGTGCGTGCGTGTGGTGAATTTTATTTGAATTTGATTGGAATTTGTTAACTCGAGAAATAGAATGAGAGAGAAAGACAAAAATAGAAAGAG